CACAAAGTTTATATATTTATGTATAAATGTGCTCACGGTATAGTACTGAGGATGATTGTCCTGATTTCAAATACCTTATATGCCTATTATTTCCTAGTGATACTACGGACCGGTATGTCAGCTAGGTATCCGATCAAATTCTAGTGCTCGCACGACCATGTTGTAAGTAGAAGAACTACCTCGTTGTATGCCCCTCGCCTCCATCTCTTCAAAGAGTGACATAGCTTTTTGCCACTTCTTCCCAGTTATGCATGCGGCTAGTACGGCTTGGTAAATGGCTTCGTTGCGTTCAATTTTTTTGCCATCTATCTCATCGAACAATTCCAAAGCCTTCTGCCACCGCCCCGCCTTTTCACAGGCCGATAGTGTGGTACTGTACGTGTCCGTGTCACGTACAATTCCAATACGACCCATCTCGCTGAAAAGGTGCAGAACCGTCTCCCACTGGCTTCCCATCTCACAAGCCGATAGTATGGCGTTATACGTCTTCCTACTGCGTTTAACCCCGACGTCATCCATCTCATTGAATAGAACTATAGCTTTCTGCCATTGCTTCCCCTTTCCACATGCCGATATAATGGCATTGTATGCGGTCGTACTGAGCTTGATACGTTTGCTCTTCATCTCATCAAACAGTGCCAAGGCTTCCTGCCATTTGGCCGCCTCTCCACACGCTAGTATGGCGGGTGCGTATGTGTTTTCATTGCACAGGATACCTTTACTTCCCATCTCGATGATGAGGTTTATGGTTTTCTGCCACTGTCCCCCCTGGTGACAGGCCACGATGGTGGTGTTGTACACCTTTGTGCGCTTGATTCCCTTGGTGTCAATCTCGGCCAAAAGCTCCAACGCTCTCTGCCACTGCTTCCCCTTCCCACACGCTGCTATTGTGGCCGTGTAGATATCCCCGTTGCGTTCAATGTTTTTACCAGCCATCTCGTCGAACAATTCCAACGCCTTCTGCCATCGCCCGCTCCTTTCGCACACCGCTATTGTGGTGCTGTAGGTGTCCGTATCCTGTTTGAGACCTAAACTACTCATCTCGTTAAACAGATGCAACGCTTTCTCCCACTGGTCCCCCACCTTACACGCTGATAAAAGGGCGTTGTACGTGTTCGTCGTCCGCTTAACCCCTACGCCATCCATTTCATCGAATAGTGCCACGGATGTCTGGCATTGCTTGCCCTCGCCACACGCCCATATGACGGCATCGTACGCGGCTGTGCTGCGTTTTATATCTTCCTTATTCAGGTCATGAAACAAACTCAGCGCTTCCCGCCACCTGGCCCTCTTCCCACACGCCAGTATTGCAGGGACGTACGTGTGTTTATCGCGTATGACACCCTTGCCTTTCATCTCGCTAATAAGACCGATCATTTTCTGCCATTGGCCGCCCCGGCGACAGGCGGCAATTGTGGCATTGTACACCTTTGTTCGTTTGTTTCCTCTGGTCCTCATTTCACCCAGAAGATCCAGAGCTCTCTGCCACTGCTTCCCCTTCCCACAAGCCAATATAGTGGCGACAAGCGTGTCTGTATCGCCGTTGAACAATCCTCTACCCCTCATATCCGAGAACACCTTCAGCGCTTCTTCCCATAGATCCCCCTTCTCACACGCCGATATCGTGGCTGTATACGTAGATGGATTGCGTTCAATACCTTTGTTCTCCATCTCATTGAACAGGTCAAGAGCTCCTTGGTATTTTTTTACCTTCTCATGAGCCAGGATTGCGGCATTGTAGGTGATCGTGTTGCGTTCGACATCTCTACCCGCCATCCCCTCGAAAAATCCCAAAACTTTCTCCCACTTCTTCACCGTCTCACACGCTATTATAACGGCGTTGTAGGAACCTGTATCGCGTTCAACACCCTTGCTCTCCATCTCTTCGAACAGTTTTAAGGCTTTGCCGGCACGGTGCGCTTCGCCACACGACGCTATTACGGCGGTGTAGGTAGCGGTATTCGGAGCGATACCTTCACTCTTCATCTTATCAAACATCGATAGATTGTCCGTCCACCGCTGTTGCTTCGGTCTCCACCCTGACAGCAGCGCGTTGTATGAGAACACATTGGGCTTAACCCCATTCTGTGACATCTCATTTAGTAACCCCAGCGCCGTATCCGGTTTACCTGCCTTCGCTAATACGTCGATCGTGGTATTGTATGTCACCAAATCCGGCACCACACCACCCGCCTTCATCTCCAAGAAGAGCGAGTACGCCTGTGAGGGGTATCTCACACTGATTGCGGCTATGCATGGGTTGTAGTGGGCAGCCGTAAGGGTGTCACCGACGCTCTTCAGACGCTCCAGGGTCTCCATACACTTGTCCGCTTGGCCAAGCTTCTCATATACATGCATTGCACGAATACCATCTTCTGTCTCCGTGAGGCGTTCTACTTCCCCTGTAGCCTGTGTGTGGTTGAGTGCTACATCGCCCAATGCCCCAGTTCCCGGTTGGTCCGTTCGCGATGCGTGTTCGCGTGGGCTCGGTAATTGGTGACTCGCTGCAGTGCGTGGCCCTTTTGTGCCTTTGGGGCCAAAGTGCACCTGTCCATGGGGTTGCAGAGGACTGGTGTCTAGCTGTCCCCTGGGTGTGACGTCCTGTATATGCCTTTTCCTACTTTGAGGCGTTCTGGGTGTTGAACGTGCAGGTTTTGTACGCATTGTATGCGATGGCACCGTGATAGACGGGACTGACTCTGATAACAATTGACTGTTGCCAGTTTTGCCTGTGTGTGAGGCGGCCAACACTATGGTCTTCTTAGACTCAGAACTCGTCGAGTACGCACGCGCATGATGTGTTCTGTAGTGGTGGAAATTGCAAGAGGTCATCATTCTCTATCTTCAAACTAGGGACGCAGTATGAAAACATTGCGTATATAGTACTTTTTATCATAAACACAAACACGTGCTATATGTATAGATATAT